TCCTGGTTCACCTAATTCTAAACAAGTCTAAAAGTTGCAAAGCCTCAGTTTGCACTTCTTGTTTCCCTATGAGCAGAAAACTTCCTAGAAACTCTCCTCTGTTTTCTGTTTTGGCTAAGACAGAAATAGAATTGTGCATTTCTGCCTGCAACAACTTCATTTCCAAAACAGCATCTGCAAGGGAGAAATGCAGAGCTGTGAGAACGGCCTGGTTTTCAGTTTAGCCAGTTAATTTTAGGCATTAGGAACTGTAGTTTCCTCATCTGCAGTGCGGACACTCATACAGGCCAAGTTTCTTGTTAATGGCTTTCCTGAAACCTTGAACTTGTTTCCTTTATGAAAGAGATTTGAGTCCAAAAGCTGTTAGCATTTAGTCACTGACTGCCACTACTTAGAATAGAATAGAATGGAATAGAATACAACAGAATAGGAGTGGACTAGAACAGTTAGAGTTGGAAAGATGCTTAAGCTCATCCAGTTCCAATCCCCTGCCATGGGCAGGGACACCTCACACTAAACCATCTCACCCAAGGCTCTGTCCAACCTGGCCTTGAACTTTTACAAGACTCTCTACAAATGCTTGCACTATGAGCGTTAGAGTGTATGAGAGTAACAGGGAAATCTACAGGGATGTCACAGAGTGCTTTTGAAATCAGGTTCTTTCCTAGAAGTCAGGGACATTAAGGCAAAATGTCACCTCAGCAGCCACCCTTCAGCCAGAGGAGAACACAGCTACACCTTAAATGTCAACCACCCGCAAGCTTGCACACCGTGAGCTGACCTTTGTGGTTTCTCACAAGACTTGTCTCAGAGTCATAAAACAGTTATATGGAGAGAAAGAGCACCCAAAAATCAAAGCTCTCCTTCTTGTCTTTCAAAGCTCTCCTTCTCTTTCATACAGGAGCAGAGTAAGAAATTCTGCTATATGAGGATGAAATGATTACTCCTGTTGGTAAAGCATTGTACAAGTAGCCCCAGAGTCAGGTTTTACAACTTGTATGAGAGAAGGCTGCATGGTTTAGCCCTTCATGTCTTAATGGTGGGCAATAGTGGCTCCTGAACCCCAGAGCTTGGCCAGATTCCTTGGAAAGACTAAGATGTAGTTTTCCACTGCGTTAGAAGGAGGTGGAGCAAACAGAGAGTTCCTAATTGCTGTTACTGATCCAGAGAAAGAGTGAGAGAGCATCTTCCACTTGGCATCTGCAATGTTAGGACATTATTCTCCTTACAGTCAGAAGCACAAGTGCAGGACATTTGTGGTACCTGAGGTGGGCATCTTCTCTGTGGACATGGGCATGATCTCTGGGGAGAGTTTCAGGAACATGCCAGCCAACTGTTGCAGTTAAATACCACCCAAAAGCAAAGTAATTGTTCTTGTGAGGTAGTAACAGAGGAAGGAAACTTCACCACCCAGAGCATTCATTCAGCCCTATTAGAAGTTTATTTATACACAGTAGAGTTCCCTCCTGTCAAGATGAAGAGATAATCGCTTGTACAAGATAGATGAAGACAACCCTTTAAAATGTTAGTTTTAGGACGAAGTGGTTTATTCACCCTATTCAGCATTTAGGCCGGTTGCTTCATTTCACTTTCTTGAATGAAAACTGTGATCTCTTACAATTAAGCCTTAATGGTGTAGACAAGGTAGGATACTCTGACTATTATGAGAGAGTTGTAAGACCAGTAATGTACTACCAGTGACATACAAAAAGGTAAGTTAAAACCTGTCAAGATTTCAAGTGGCATTTGGAAGATTTCTTGCATGCTGCTCATAGCCAATACTTCACTACTGAAGCATTCCAAGTACTATTAAAACCATGCATGACAATACAAATACACTTTAAATCAGATGTCAGGCAGCAGCAGTAGAGTCCATTATCTAGAGCAGAACTGTATTAACCAGAGATGTCACGTCAAAAAAGTGGCACCAAGAAGGCGTTTTCAGCACTTGAGAGCTCTAAACTGTGTGAAAGCCAAATCTGTCTACCAGAAAAACCCTGCGTGTTTTCAACTTGACTGTAAGCGGACTGCGAATCATGAGCTGAGTGCTAGCAAACATTCAAACAGAAACTAAACGCCTTGGGAAACAAGTGCTCACAAACGTTGAATGCAAATGGGTTTTTCACTAACACAGGGGCTTTCAGAAGCCACCAGTCAGTAGCTCACCTTCACCAGAGCCAGGACATAGCTTGGTCATATTCTCCAAGTAAATCTCCTGTGTAAGTTGGTGGATGGAATAATGATCACAAGGAGCAACCAGTGACAGATGGGTGGGAGAACCTAACCCCAGGCAATAACACCAATGTAGGTGTGAGAAATAAGTCACGCAGCATTTACAGCTTCTGGAAGCACGTTTGTTTGCAGAACAGTCACTAGAACTAATCCAATGTCCTACTGCATATCACAAGGTGCAACAAGAGGAGGACATCTATCCCACATACTGCTCTCCTGGAAAATGCCTTGTGCCTCAACTTGCCTTATCAATGTCCTTGCCATCTGAGTTCAATCATGTACTTGTCAGATACTCCTTAGTCAAAGGGTGAAAGTGCTTTCCTCAGTTCAATGTTACTGAGTCCATGTGTTCCACCAGCAGTGATCTACATATGCTGGTTGGTCACTCCAGGTTTGCAGATAATGAAAGATTATTTCTGATGAGCCCTCCCCTTCCCAAGAGCTCAGTAAAGGCTGTTCCATGTGGACCCAGCCTCCTCAGTCACTTCTGCCATGGCTTGTACCTTGTCTGTTGTGCTTTTTCTGCTCCTAACACACTGCCTTATCTCAGCTGCCTCGGCTTCCTCCATCCCTGTTTGGTAAACTCTGATGGCAGAGTTGCAGTTCTGCTCCCCATCCCTGGCAGTGTTCAAGGCCAGGTTGGACACAGTCTTGGGCAAAATGGTCCAGTGTGAGGCATCCCTGCCCATGGCAGGGGGTTGGAACTGGATCATCTTAAGGTGTTTTCCAACCCAAACCATTCTATGATTCTGTGACACTCGAGCTGATTTCCCCAGCAATTCTCTTCAAGCAGCTCATTCACCACCGCTTGGATTCATTGTGGGGTTGATTCACTATTCCCCTACACAGCTACAACTCAGGCCATGTCTCACTCAATGGCATTTTCCTCAGCTTATAAAAGCCAAAGCAACCACCTCCACTGCTGTTTCCTTTCACAGCTTCTCTTTTTTAATCACTGTGGTCATGTTTGCCCAGTAGCATTGCTACAGAAAGCTGATCTCTAGTGCCAGCTTGCTCATTTTGAGCCTCTGTACGCTGTCCCCCTGGGAGTATTGCCCTTCTCTGCTAAACCTGCACCTTTTCTCACAAATAAGAATGGATAAGAAATGACTACTTCTGATTTGGGCACTTTAGTTCCTAGATTGGTATCTAATTTGTTAATTTGTATCTAATTTGTCTTCCCCAGCTCTACATCCACACCTGAGCTGGGGCTGCTCCAGACAGAATTGCTCTAAATGCTGCAGGGAACGTTTGGGCTTGGTCTGGCTTTCCCTGTGCTGTGTCCCTCAGGGTCTGCTCTGGCCCAGTCCCCTCTGGGTCAGGGCCTTCCAAGTGACCCCAGTGCAGATGCTGTTGTTCCCCCCGGGATCTCTGGTATTGTTTTTTCAGTGCTTAGTTTTAAAACAAAAAGAAAACAAACCCCAAACCACCCAAAACCACACAGATTTGGTGAATAAAGGGGAAAATCTGCTGTCTATTGAGGCGTTACATTGCGGCATTTCGGAACAAGCCTTTGAGTAACTCTATTTAAAAAACTCCACAGCAACCAAGCAAAACACTAAAAGAAACAGTCCCCTCAATGACTAGTATTTATTTGCAAGATATACAAAAGTCTTTAATACATGTATAGAAACACAGAGCAACTCTACAAAGCCCCAGTCATAAATGTAATTTCATTCAGGTACAGCTGTGAAGACTGCAGGGTCTGCAAGCAACAGACACCTCTTACGAGGTAAAACCCCCTCCATCAGCCACCCGCATACGCAGATTTCTGCTTCGAGTCTGTTGCACAGCATTTCAGGAGTAAGATCTGGGAGGAAATGGGCTCTCCCAAGTGGCAGCCTTGGCTCAGCAAGCTGGAATCTCAGCAGAGCTCACCTCGGAGAGGAGGAATCCCCTGTGCCTGGCTCCGCTCCAGCTCTCATCAATGGCAAACCAGCCCTAATCCCTAAGAAACTAAACAAATACATCAGGAAAGAAAAATCCCAGCGTCAGCTTGTTCCCAGGAATCACATGTCAGCCCCTCGATCCTGCCTCGGGACTGGGCAATCTGATATTCCTCTGGGCATGCAAACTATTGACTCTCTGCAGCAGACACAGCATTACAAAACCAAAACACCCCAGAGAAGGCTGTAGCCTTTGCTTAGCTAGAGGAGAGTTAAGCTCATCATAGAGACCTGTCCTAAGCCATTACTAAACCAAACTTAGCTCCCACCTGACCGATGGTTTTGGTAAATTCCTTTTTAAGAGATTTGGATCTGACTTACCCGCACCAGCGTGGAGTGCAGGCACTGGCTTTATCTCAGATCAGTTCACCTTGTACTGTACAGTGTAGACTCACTGACCTGGAGAAATGCATTCAGCTGTGTAGTCCTGAACGCTCTGAAGTTTGAGTCAACACCAGCACATCACTAATATTTCTGGTGTCCCATAATGCCACCGTGCCCCAAGTCTGGTCATTTTGCATGTCAACCACACCAAAACCCCCAGCAATCACACCAGTATCTCTGACAAAGGCAGTAACTTGAAATCCAGCCTTGATTGCATTTTTCCAGTGCCATTATATTCTCTGCGTAAGCATCTCCCACACAGGCAGCACCTCACTCGTACCACACTGCCACAACGTGTCTGAGGGCTCTTCAGAACAGATTTCTTTGCTGTAACTCTTGAGTAGTTTTCACTACCTGAGCTCTTCGGCAGACCCATGAGGATTCACAAGAGAATGTGGACCCATTGCATCTTACAGTCTTTCTAAGCAGTTACAAAGCTCAGAGCCAGACCTCTCCATCGTCTATCCCACCTTCCCTGAAAAGGTTATTGATCAAAGAAATGAGTCCATATGTTGCCTCCAGCCAGAAAGTACAGTCCAAAAAATACTGCATTCCATCCTAAACTGCAAACACATGTGCAGGGTACCTGCATTTCTGTACATTTTATATACATTAACCAAAAAACCCCAAAATTACAAGTGATCAAAAACCAGAGAAAGCTTTGGAAATAAGGCAGGTTTTTCTTTCCTCTGAAGAAGGTAAGTGACAGCATTTTCAGTTCAGCTACCACATCAGGTTGCTCAGGCAGCTCTGAGGGAGACCTGTAAAGGAATAGTTGATCCATGCATGGTCCCAGCTGGCAGAAGCTTAATTGTCAATGGAGTAAGCATTGGTTGCCTGCAAGGTGTGTTGTCTAACACTGTAAGACATGTCTTCATATACTGTATTTGGGGGGTTGTTCTGGAAATACTTCTTCATCTGCAAAACAAACCAAAGAGCAATTCAGCACCGAACTTGAACAGGCTCTGACCAAGGAGTCAGTTTACACCTCAGAGTCCATCTGTCTGAAATGGAGATGTACTTTCCAGCTGCCTCTCATCACCCAGTGAGGGCTTAGATCATAGGTGGAAATTATCAACCTATTTATTTAACTGTCCATTGTCAGTCTGATGTAATTTCACCAAAAGTTCCTTCAAGAGGTGGATGTAACTGTGGCCCCAGCACAAATAAGGCTTATCCTTAGTTTGTTACTGGTTACACAAGGGACAGTTCCCAGAAGGCCTCTTGGCTTTGCAAGAATGATGTTATAGCCCTGGGTTTTAGCAGCGCTGAAGGGACAAGATAAGGCTCTGGTCTGTGAACCATACTCTGTCAATTTTGAGTCATTTTTATAGAGCAGAAGGATCTAGAAGAGACAATTTCTGGGCACTGGCTGCACAATAGGAGTGTAAATAACACCAGTAAAGGCAAAAAGATCTTGTTTGCCTTTTTTCTAGGACGGCGTAAAATCGTTCTCCTACAGCAACTTTCAGGCATGATGCTATGCTCTCCTTCAAACATCCTCTTTACATCTAATACAAGGTTGGTATGTACAGTCCCATTCCCAACTAACAAAAGAAAGCAGCAAAACAGAATAATGAGGTGCTCTGTTCAGGGAAATACATGCAAACACATGGCTGTGTTATTGACTGTGAGGCTTGGTCTCAAAAGGCAAACAATATCTCATTTACTAAGAGTTATAGAAACATACGAGGACATAGTCTTTACTGCCAAGAGCTTACAGCTAGGAGACATTAACCAAGGACAAAGAGGAGACAATAGAAAGCCACGATTCTTAAGGTTTATCAAACATTTGCTTGGCTGTCACTGTTTACAAAGAATATCAAAAGCACCTATTCAATGCACCTGGATTCAGTTTTGCTTTGGCACCACAACAACTTACATCAACATGGTACAGGGTGCAGCACATCAGCACAGCAAACAGGAGCGTGACCACGGTGATAAGAACATAGATGAGCCAGGAACTTTTCTTGCAGTCTGTCTGCTCTCCTTCTGCATGTAAAATTATATCAGTATTATAAATCTGAAGAGGTAGAATACTGTTTTTATTATGAGCAAAATATTATTCACTGGTCAGCAAAAACTCAGTTCTCAACAGCATGCTACAGAGCCACATTTCTCACCCCATTATTATTCCTTACTGCTATTCTCCGTGTTTTTCTAGGAATGGCATGTGGGGGGGTCAGTGAGAAGCACTCTACAAAGGTGGTAGCTTCTATAGCACTGATCAGAAGTAGGACCACACACTTGTCATGGAAACAGAAAATGTTTCACTGCTGTATTACAGCAGTGCTGAGGGTTTGGCCAGGAGTATATAGGAGTTAAAGCAAACAGCTAGGTTTGCAAGCAGAACAACAGGAGGAGGAGGCTACTGTGATCTGAAGTACGTACACTGAGCCCAACAGTGCTGGTGGAAAGGGTTAAAGTTCTCTAAAAGCTTGATTAATCCATATCTGAATAACATAAAACCGGTAATCAAGATGCTTCCTTGATATGCAGGTGCTGCTTTCCCCAGCCCATGTTACTGAACCCTTGCACCAGCTATGGCCCAGCAGCACAGAGTGAGAGTACAGCCTTTTTTGCAGACCGAAGACAAATCCTCTGCAACTCTTAGGGCCTGTGTAAACCTTATTTTAATTACCCAAGGATCTCATCACAGCCCAGTGCACAGGGTTAAGTTACACCAGTAAGGTCAAAACCAAGCACTATATTGCTGAGTTTGTCTTTGTTTAGCAAATGGTTACACCACTATCCTGCAGAAAAAAACCCACCCCTCTCTTTGTATCATGCTCCCAGAGTGCTCAGTGTATAATAAGGGTGTGTGAGATCATCTCTGCTATTATCTGTGGTACTTTAAGTAAGTGCCTGAGGACTTGTTCCATACTCCCTAGCATGAGCTATTTTTAAACACAAAGAGTCACTATAGAGAATGGTTTCTAAAAGACATTTATGTCACATGAAGGTCAAAGAACTGATGCTAAAAATACCAATTAATTCCCTAAAAGCAACGGATTATTCACGGACACAATGGAATGTTTGTTATCTGATTCTGAACTTGGTTTATTTTTAAGATGCAGGATTATAGCAACTCTTTTTTTTTATAATTCCCCTCTGGTTGCACAAGGCAGGTAGGAACATAGTGCTTGGCTGTGTCCTAGCACAACAGGGCAGAGGAATCTGAGCACACTCTCCAAGGTTCCCCAGGTACTGGAAGAAGTCTAGCCATGGATTAGTGCTTCCCCTGTCCTTACAAAGGTTCTGCAAGCTTTAGGTCTAGCTTTTGTCTTACAATCTGCCTGTAGTCTTTTACGATTGAACAAGTAAAAGGATACCTTTAATCAGCATCATGGTGCCACTTCTATTCACTGAGAGGAAAGAGGAGTTTTTCACCACTCCAGCACATACATATATGTCACTGTCATTTCTCCATAGGTTGTGTAGAGTTATCACGATTTTCTCCCCTTCCTTCGAATACTCCAAGCGATTGGCAAAAGCAGGAAAAACAGTGGAAGTATTCTGACTCGAAACATACAGCACTGGTTCAGGCTGCATGTGAGCCTTGAGCAAGTAGATCCCTTCATCTTCATGTGAGGCTTTCAATGCACAGGTAATGCTGACAGATTGGCCTTGCTGAGGATTCACATACAGCGGTGCCTGTTCAACAATCCCACTGGGTTTACCTAAGAACAAGAGAGATTAATGGCTACCACATACTTAACACCGTGCAGTTGAACTATTAAATACAGCGATTTAAACACAGAGGTCAAAGACAATAAAAGCAGACCACAGAAATTTAGATGAAATTATTTCTTTAGAGGCAACCCTCATGCGTGTCTTGCGAGCCACCTGGTGTGGTTTTGCTGAAAGTAGGACTCATAGAAACACATTTACCTGGTTGTAAAAGGTCTCCACCTACCTACAAAATACATATCTTTTGTATTGAACTCTTCTAAGGGAATACAGCTACATCAGCTTGCCTTTGAGAAATGGATTATTGCCTGCTCTCTCAAATGAGATTAAGCTATAGCAAGATCTGGAGACAACTGATCTGGGTGAAATCATACAGTGTGGGTCCCATGAGTGTTGAAAGTGTTCTCCAAAAAGGCAGTTATTAATGGCTTGCTGTCCAGCTGGGAAGACAAGTTTCACCGGGTTCCTCCGAGGACAAGGCCCATCCCTTTTGACATTAGCTAATGTGGATGAGGGAATGAAGACAGAATTCATCACATTTGTACAGAAGGTAAATCTGGGAAGGCTGCAAACGTTTTAGAGAAGAGGAGTAGAATCCCAAAGAGATACAAGGTAATTTAATAAAATACTTTGGAGAAACAGTACATAACCGACAAGATGGAATTCACGTGAGAAAACAGTCAAAAAGTTTGAGAAGGGAAGCCTAAAGAAGGACAGGATAACTCTTCATAGACATAAACAGCTATTACTGACCCCGCAATCAATTATGTTTTGCATGCCCTGGGGACAGGAAAATAAGAAAACCCTGTGATTTTTGGTGAAGCTATAGCAGTTTAGAGGCTCTCATCAGCAGGGCAGGGATGCAGAGGATCAAGCTGCCAAAGACAATACTGGGTACGCAACCCTCTTATAGTAAAAACATTTAAAAAGGGAAAAATCTCTAACCAGAAACGCCTGCCAAAAGGAGCACTCGTGCCCATCATCAGCTGTTTGGTAAGAAGAGAAAAACCCCACATCCCTTCATCCACTGATGCCCAGCTTGCAAACCCTGCCTAGCACCAACTTCCCAGTTGTTATGAATTTGTCCCGTAAGATGTAATAGCAAAAAGAAAAAGACATTTGTAAAAACCACTACCAAAAACTGGCTCATTGTCTCCTAGTTCTTCATAGAGATTGGAAAGATTGCTTTGCAAAGAGCTAACTGTCCTCGCTGTTTCCAAACTGCTGCAGCAGCCTGTGACTCATGTGAAAACCCATAGCTAGGGTTAAATTTGTTGTGGATTGATGTTCTGGGGGTTTTCTTGGTACTGTTCTACCTAAATTGTTTTCTTGATCTGTTCACAGGACAGACTCACAGTTTCCTTTAAATCAGTACATTACCTGAGCAGGCATGGGGAAAGTCCTGTCAGACTCTCTCCCATTATGCTTTCCTCCAATCTTTGATTTCAAATATATAGCTATATTTATTAATTCATGACAAAAAAAGTGCGGTACCTTTTACTACTACTATGGTTGTCTTCCCAAACAGCTTTTTGTGATAGCTTTTGGTTTTAACATATGTACTGCACTGATAGATGTTAGAATCCGATTCCTGTACATTGTGCAGAGTTATCCTGAGATTGCTTCCTTCCTTTGAGTACTTGGTGCGGTTTGCCAAAGCAGGAAGGATATATGAAGTATTCTGCTTGGAAACATATACCACATTGACAGGCTGTATGCTAGTTGTCAAGTATGTTCCCACTTCATTTTCTGAACCTTTAATTGAACAAGTTATGCTGATGGTTTCTCCTTCGTGAACACTGATAATGTCTGTTGACTCTTCATTTTCTCCACCTAAAAATAAGAAATGAAACTGGAATTGTAATATCAGTGTTCTTCTCGATCTATTCATAACATCAAAGTAGTTTCCAAAACTAGTCTGTCAACAGAACTGCTGTTTGAGACTGGACCTTGGCCTTGCTATCGTGTATCCATCATCTCTTGGCTGCCCTGAAGCCGATAGTGCCTTTCATGCCTGTTGACCTGTGGAATTCAACATTTTCATGCCTCAGCAAAAAAAGAAGCTTGTTACCAATTAAAAATATTTAGTCTGCTCTGTAGCTTCCAGTATGATCCCATTAATTCTCAAAATACAAGCTTCATTGAACTCAGCCCAATAATTGGAGCTGGTTGAGGAGCTAAATCTGGAATACAAAAGTATCAAAAAATGGTAGAGAATGGAAGAAAATTACACTTTAAAAAACAAAAAGAAAGGAGGCTTTAGCAGCATCAGTCAAGTGGATAATGTCGCCTCTTAGGAAGAGAATTGCAGAAAGTGCAATTCCAGCCTACGGTAAGGAGCAAAGGTATAAAAATATGTAATGAGACCCTTTGAGTTCCCAAATGACCTCAAGATCAAAAGAATCTGAACAGCAAGTACTCATGCAATGAACAGCAAGGAACAGAGGGATCAAACAGGAAACACCTAAAAGAAATTACATTAAAAAGAAAGGGCAAGACAATGAAATGTAGAGTATTGCATACCTAGGACAAACATAGTCTAGAAAGGGGAGAATTACTGTTGACAAGAAAATTAAGGATCCCTGCATACTTAAAACAATTAGTTTTAATAAGGGAACAAGCACAGAAAGACCAGATCATGGAATTTTGATACAGTCGGTCAATCTGACCTCATCAGACATTCCTCCTACAACTCCTAGAGAAGGAATTAAGGCAACCCAGGAGTTGCCAGCAATTACCTTCCAGAGCAGCAGAGAAATAGGGTGATGAAGAACACTGGAGAAGCACAGAGCACTCAGCCTTCACAGGTGGGGAAGGAAAGCCCACGATATCCATCTCCACCAGCCTGTTGCACAAATCAGTATTGTCCCCTCAACAAACATTAACTAAAGAAGGGCAAAATAAATATTCTCACCAGTTTTACTGCCTCCAGCTGTACTTTCAATAGCTACAACAATATTTAGCATTGGATATTGATAGTAAGGTTTTATTACATCTTCAATAATTTTGTCTCTAGTAAGTATCAGTACTCATCTCTATCCAGTAGTGGGCTCTCCTGTCAACCTTAGCAGTACAGACACAGTTCATTACTGGGAATTCTGGGAAATTTCCCAGTAATTCCCACAGCTGGGGTAATCCCTGGGGAATCCACTGCTTCCACAGCGTGCAACTTCTGTGTAGAAAAGTTCAGATCACACAATTTTAAAACTGTTTTCTAAAAACTCATCTGATCATTTCAGAGAATGTTTTCCAACCTCTTCTTTCCACCTCTTTTTTGCTGCTGCTGAATTTGCCAGGAACCTGCTTGAGACAGACCAAGGAGGAGCGGAAGGGGGGAAAGGAAAGAAAAGATTTAGACTTGTGAAGTGTAAGAGCATCGATGCTGTACATACCATTCTGGCCAAGGAAGCATGGGAGGTGCAGAAGAAAGAGCAATGCAGTTGGAAGACATATCCACAGCATTTTCAAGGGTCTTTTTACTTGTTCTCTATTGTCTTACTGATGAGAGCAAGACCCGAAGTGCTGTATGCCACAACTGCCTTCTTTTCTTCCAGCTACATCAGCTGTTTACTGAAGGCAGTTTAGCAATGTGCGGCTTTCAGTTTAGTATAATGAATGTGATGGAGGGTGGGGGGAGAGATTTCTCTCCAGAGGTGCATCTTGGTTTTGACTTCACACTTGAAACACCCACGGTTTCCTACTACTGAACAACCCCCAACCCTGAGGGCAGGACTTTAAAGAGTGCTCTGCGGTGAGCACTCACCTGCCCTTTACAATCAACTGGGGAAAAATAAGCTCAAAGCTGCTCTTCACAGTGCTAAACTCAGGCAATGATCTCCCAGTTGCCTCCCTACTGGAAATGTAGCTCGGTACAATCAGTTCCGTCGGTCACTTTTCCCACTGCCTGGTTGGTGCAAATGTCTTGGCTTTGTAAACAGCAAGTAGATGAGAGATGTTCCCTTATTTCAGATAAACCTTAAATTCTTGTACCTCTCACATGCCTCTTGCCTTCACATTTAATAACACATTCTGTAGTGTCTGCAGCATGAGAGCTGGTAACCAGGGAATCTGCGACAGTTCACAGGTAGCTCCTGCTCTCTCCCTGATGTGCTCAAATACTCTTCCTGCTTTGTTCTCTGTGTGAAGACTTTGGGAAAGGGGTGCGTTCCCAATGAGTTTCTTGAATGCTTGGAAGCTTAGGCATTCCATCAGTCATTGTAAAGGAAACAGAGTTCAGGCAGGCTGTGAAATGACCTTTCAATTATCCCTACACAGGCTCACTACTGGACACAAAAGCAAATGCCAGGAGATATCTCTTACTCCCTCTTTTTGCTTTAGCAATATTTAAGCAAATCGTGACAATAGTACTGGATTATGAGTTTGGGAATCATCTAATGGTGATGCTTTGTAAAAGAGATTAACGTACCAAGTAACGACACATCAACACAGGGTTACCAATGAATAGTGAGGTTTTAAGTTGTTTTACTGTGAATAGTATAACAACACAAATAAAAAAAAACCAAACAGATCAAACATTAAAATGAAATTACAAATACCAAATGATGGCGTTTGGTGAGTCAGAGCCGTCTTTTTTCATAAACAACTATTTTCCTGTATTTGTATATTGCAGAACAACACAACGCAGTTACCCAGAACAAATACTGTAGATTTTTAAAGCTGTTCCTCCTGAGACATGGGATAATTGGTATCTAGCAGCACAATACAGCTCAGGAGGGGCAAAGTGAAACAGTTGGCATCGATGCCTCTTAACATCACAATCTGTATAATCATCAGTAGAAAGAAGAAACCAAAATGAAAATGTGCTTGGGTGAGCCATAAAGACTGTGACTGATCAGCTCTCTGGCCCCAACTGGTGCTAAAGAGTAGAAATCAAATCTGCACATCATTAAACCTGAACCCCTCAAATTAATACCATGTGAGTTCTCAAATATCATTTTGTCCCTTTTCCAAACAACTCAAAATCTGAGTTTATACCAAAACCACTCAGTGTCAGCCAGCAATTTGAACACCAGATGCACACACACAGAGGTTTTTCCATACACACATATTTGTGTGTATACATAGACCGTACAAAAGAACTGCCATGTTGAGGACCATCTTTAGAACAGAACGCAGCTGCACATACGAGGCTAACCACAAAGTGCTGGCATAAGTGGACCAAGCAGAAAAATAATGTTTGTTCCTCACAGACTGTTTCAAATAGGAAGTTCTGGGAGCAGAAGATACCTTGTGCTTAACCGCTGTATGGTCGTAAAAGAAACATAATCTGTGAGAGCGATGACTGCTTAAGCAGTAACAGATTGCTACCTCTAAAGCACGTATCAGCTAGCAACAATAACAAGGAAATGGTTAGAAAAATGGTGACTGAGTAACATGTAGAGGAATATTTGTGAGGTGGGGCTTTATTGGTTATTTCTCATAACACCCTTGTAAGCTTAAAGTACATAATCAAGAGACTTCACCAAAGAAACAATTCCGTCGCTCCATGGAGTCCGTGACATCATGCACCACACTGCCGCAGCCTTCAGTTTGAAGACAGGATTTTTCTAGGTGTAGGAAAACAATGTGTGCATCACTGTGAATCTCCAGAATCTCAGCATACAGCTTGACTGAGTATGCTGGAGCAATCGGCACTTCCTCAAAGGCACCCACAGCAACAACTTACAGCAGAGGGAAGCAGAATCTAAAGCATCTGTGATAGCTGCAGTGGGGCCAAAAACTGAAAGGCCCATACCCATTTTGAGTGCTCCTTTCCCAGCCTATAGCAGCTGACATGTTATTTCTTCCAAAAAGGATGGCTTTTACCCCAAACCAACTTCTTCCTCACTCACTCCTTTTATACACAGCTCTACTCCATTGAAAAGTTACAGCAGCCCTGTTCTGGGGAAAAAAACCCAGGAACTGCGATTGTGTTAAGGCACTGTGTAAAGAGGGAAAGCCTTTTCCTTCTACCTCTAAATTCTTGTATAATCTGGATTCTTTATGGGCAACCTTAGCTCTGGCTTAGTGAATAACTATACTATCACATTCTTCATGATAATATAACATAATGACATAACATGAAGAAGTTATGTTAACTGGATCAAAACATAATCTGTAAATACCTAAAAGCCTTTGAATAGCTGGGGATTGACGTCTCTTGGTGATGTTTTGACTGCATTCCACCACATTAAAACTAGAAAGACAAAATCCAACAAATAAGCTGACAGCCGAGTTAAAAGGGTATCTCAGATCAGCATGAGTGTAAAGCCTCCACTGGAGAGGGAAAACCACCTCCTAACAGCACTCGTCCGCTGTGCCAAACAAGAAACAACCTAAGCACAGAGGCTTTTCTGCATTTCTGACATTAATTAATAACATATTTTTGGATGTCTTTCATTATGAACTTTTCCCTTTAGAATTGATCGTAGCAAATTTCGAGAGTCACATGACAACCCACATCCTTTGAGATTTCCTGCTGGAAGTTTCAGCTACAGGTTTATGGGTAATTAAACCATGTAAAAGTGATTCCACAAGTGTTCACACTGTTACACAGACCTGCTTTTCCAGTTGTGCTGCTGCTGCTGCTTTTTGCTCAAAAGCCTTGTCAAGCTTTAAGCTCGACTGGTAACTCAGAACCATGCAGCCGCTCACTCCTCTTCCCTCAGTTCTGGGTGGCATGAGGAGGAGAATGGAAAGAATGTAAACCCCACGGGTTAAGAACAGTCCAGTAACTAAGATGTAACACAAACCCACTAGTGCTACCACCACCAATAATAATGATAAGGGAAATAACAAGGAGGAGAAAGCAATTGCTCACCATCCGCTGACTGATACCCAGCCCTACCTGAGCAGTGATCTGGGTCTTCCAGGTGACTCCCCCCAGTTTCTATACTGGCCATGCCGTGCTGTGGTATGGAATACCCCTTTGGCTACTTTGGGTCAGGTGTCCTGGCTCTTGGCTCTGCTTCCTCCCAGCTTCCTGTGCCCCTTCTGACTGGCAGAGCATGAGACTGAAAAGTCCTTGATCAGGGTAAGCACAACTGAGCAACAATAAAACATTGGAGTGTCATCAGTGCTGTTCTCAGGGTAAAGTCTAAAACACAGCACTGCACTGGCTACTAGGAAGGAGAAAAATGACTGCTACGGCTGAACCCAGGACAAGCCTGAAGCTAGGTTAGGTGTAATAAACTTCTGGAGATTTAACTGAATCAAGTGTGAATGATAAATCATTTCAACTACAAAATGGGGATCCCTGAAGTGCAGCATTCATCACATAGTGCCTGCACACAGCATACCCAAACCTGTCTTCAGATGTAGGGACTGTAAGAGGTTCAGGTTTTGATCTAGAGATCACCTGGGAGTTAAAAACCATAAAGACCTATGGGTGTGCTATCACATTAGGAAATGAAGGCACGCAGTGAGCATCCGCCTCAAGGTTCAGCACACCCTGCCCGAGCACAGATACAGCTCTCTGCAGAATTTCACATGGACTGATTGTTCCAGTCATGAAAACCATTGAGAGAATTCAGCTGGTTTAAACCTGTGCTGCTGAGCCAGGCACACATCTTGCAACGCCTGCTGTCCTCAGCAAAGCACCAGGACAGGATGGGGGATCCAGGGAGCTTCTTGTGTTGCTCCTGAAAGCCTGGAGCTGGACAACTGTGGCTGAAGGGTACTTGCTGAACATATGGGTTTGGTGACAGAACATTAATGGAAACTGCCATGAGGTCTCTCACAAAATGAGCTTCTTGAGCTGGATGCTTTATGACGCCACTGAGGAGTGTGCTGCTAGCACCAAGCCTGCTGTTCTCATTTGGGGATGTTTTTCAAAGAGGTGTGAGGCTGTAACTGTCAGAAGCCACTCCTGAGTTTTCTAACAGCTGCAGAATTGAAGGAAAAATATGTGAGGCCAAAGGCACAGGTTGATTTCAGTAAGAATTACAATCCAATTGTCTGTATTTTGGCTTGGAAATCTGAAAGGTAACAGGATTGCAGCTTCATTGCCCAGCAACTTCATGGCATCTCTGCTGAAACCCTGCCCTGGTTGCTGTGGCCCACCAGCCTTTGCCTCAGAGAGGCTCTAGAAGAGGCCTGGATCATCAGCCAGTGTTACACCCGAGGGCAGGACCTCAGAAACCACTAGTGGGAAATGTTTTACCTGTCACACTAATATATCCATTAATACATCTTCCTGTAACAACTGCAGTGAGACTAGTGTTATCTTTATTGAGTTTTGCAAACACTTGTGCAACTCATTTTTCTCAGACATCCTTGTGTTTTGTCCAACTATAGATGTTCAAACATCCCAGCTTGTTCCCATTGGTTTCTTTTAGAGTTGCCAGGGAGGCACCTTCACAAGGTAATTCACCTGTTTCATCTTAAAACCTTTTTAAGGTGAGATGAATCATCTTCTCAAGACAGCTATTTCACTCCATTCACTAGAAAGGGAGCACAAGACAAAAATCTTAAGCTTTAACTGAATTCTGACCAACAATTTAACCTTAAACAAATTTAGATTTACAAATTTCATTGTTTAATTGTTTTCTCCTAAAAAAAGAAAAAAAAACCACCATTTATTTTTACAGGATGGACTAGTTCAGGAATTAAGAGATGTCTCAGCTTCTGGCATTACACATTGTCCCATAAACCCTGGTGCCAGGTTGGTTATAAGATACAGGAGGAAGCTATATGTCAAGAGGTGTCTATAGAAGCATGCACACGATCAACACATGAGTAGTGGAACCACTGCAAACTCATGTAGGGGCTAAAATCTATTGGATCAGACTTGATGCAGGGAGGAAATGGGCATCCGCTGAACACGGTCCTAGTCAACATATCTAGTCTTTCACTGAACACCCTCCTGCCACTCTAGTAATGTGATTTCACCAGTTAACATAATTAAATGTAGTTTGATCAAAATCCAGTCTTACCATGAAGTCTGACGAAGCACTATGACAGGTCCTAGAAAAAACAACAGCAAAAAAGTAAAGTACAGCATTAGCAAAGATTTACCTAGAAGAATTAAAACTAACAAATTTGCAGCTGTTTTTTCCCAAGGGATGTGTATCTGAAATGCCTGAGGAACTCACTGGTGTGCACCTCCACGAGATTCACAGGCCTTGTGAACCTGTACAAAACCCCACCATGTATGGCAGGTCTGATCCTTTGCCACATGACAGCACAGCTGGATCTCAAGTTCTAGACTCTATTGTAGCACAACTGTTCTGAAGTATGAGGCGGTTTAATATCATCTCGCTTTAAGAATATTGCAGTCTCTGTGCCGTGGGGAACGAGGGAAGAGCAAAAGGCAGATATTTCCAGGTGATTTTATTCACATGACTCCTTACTAACTCCACAGAGCCTATCCCAGCCCTTTCATAGAATGGTTTGGGTGGGAAGGGACCTTAAAGCTCATCCATTTCCAGCCCCTGCCACAGGCAGGGACACCTTTCACTAAAGCAGCTTGCTCCAAGCCCCTGTGTCCAACCTGGCCTTGAACTCTGCCAGGGATGGGGCAGCCACAGCTTCTCTGGGCACCCTGTGCCAGCGCCTCAGCACCCTCACAGGGAACAGCTTCTCCCTAAGAGCTCAGCTCAGTCTCCCCTCTTCTAGTTTAAAGCCATTCCCACATGCCCTTATCAGAAGTCTCTCTCCAGATTTCTTGTTGGCCCCCTTTCCATGCGTTATTAGTTTGTAAAACAAACTCCCCACTTGGATGTATTTAGGAAAATATTCTTTCTTAAACTTTAATAGGCTCTTTAGCAGGCACAGCTGTGAGTGGGAACCTTCCACCTAAAGGACCTGTTAGTCCATGTCTGGATATCAGCAGCCTCCTGGCTGGGATATGCCTCTGCAGGGAAAGCTGCACAGCAATGTTGCAGTCTGAGCCTGCTCCAAGGAGCTGGATCCCACAGGGGCAAAGCTGAGCAGTGCAGTCACTTAGATGTGTTAACTGTAGCAGGGAGGAAATGTATTCCGTGCTTATTTTCCTCAATAAAGCAGCTGACTGGGTCCTATGTCATGGCACCAAACGCAGTGGTGGAATTCCTACCAGCTGCCAGCCCAGCCTCCCCTTCACAATGAATCTAATTTAACAACTTGTTATGGAAATGAGACCCAGAAAGAAAACCCTGTATGCTTCTTCCACTACCAGCGCTGCTTGCAAGGCATCTTACCCAGAGGAAGCATCACATTTCGTTAGACCATACCGTTTCTTTTCTGTAGCACACAAGATACTGCCAGAGCTGCTGCTGCACAAAGCACAAGGATCGTTATTGTAGTGATGATGCCAACGTTGCTCTTTTCACTGGCCAAATACTGAGGATTATCTGGAGAGCAGAAGAAAATAAAGTCCATGTGAATCAAACAGGCGTGCCAAGAAATAAGCCTGCCTCAGAAGCAGAACCTAGGGAGAACGGGCTGGTGCTTCTACAAAAGCTGACTATGAGAAAAGGAACTGATGAATGAGAGAACAAACAGCCTCTGGCTTAGGGTATTTTAATATCATCTCACATCAATGAAGATGCCTGTAACAAAATAATGGCTATGAACATTTGAAGCTAATTCTTGACTCCCCACCACAACAGGTACCTTTGAACCTCCATCTCGTCTGAAATAACCAAAACAAAAAGGGACAAGACCCATCCTTAGTGATGGGTTAAAAGGCCACATGGGAAATCCATTTTGACCAATTTTAAAGTACTTCAATGCATGGGAATATAAACATACAAATATCTAGAAAGCTTGCTTTAATACGGGTCCAATTTGGAAGAGAAATCATAGACTCATCCAGCAAATATTCAAAAATGACAAAAACAGAAACAAACCTCAAGCCAAAACCAAAAAACCCTCACCAAACAAACATCAGAGCAAAGAGTGAAGAAGAGCCATACCCCTACTAAGGGCTGTCTCCAGAAGAGACTAAATAGTGTTTACTGGTCTCAAGAAAAGATGCCCTGTTTGTCCATGACCTAAGGAAGGTGCCAGGGATTTCTACAATGAAAGAAATTTGGCTATCTAAATACCTGTATGTGACAAATGTCCTCTTACTCTAGAGGTGAAGTCTCATTTATCACTCATTGTTAAGTGGAATTCTCAGAAACTTGTTGCACAGCCATCATGATCCCTCAGCATCCCTGTATCTACATCTATACCACTACAGTCACAGAAACCTGTAGCTATGGATACGTAAGTCCAGGACTGGGCACCTACAGGGCCTAATGGAAAGTCTTTGAGTTTGGATGGCTACAGCACGTGTGGGTCCAAGGTATGAAGGTACAGTACCTCTCCCCATGCCACCCATGTGAAACTCTGTTCACATCTGTCCAGGCAAAACTCTCTCAAAGCAAAAGGCAAACACATACATGCAGCAATTACCTTGATTTCCCTCACCAGCAATGTTGGCTGTTGATTTTCTGGGCTCCTCATCCAACACTTCAGTGTAGCACCTCAAGGTATGGTTGGGCACTGAGAGGTTTGTGCTTGTTTCACAGCAAATTCTAACCTGCTCTGTAATGATGTTACTCCACCCATTTTCCAAGAAAGCTGAAAGACAGAAGAAGTTTTAATTATAAATATGGATCATTTATAAGCTCTTCCACTGAGGGTTAGAAAGGCTAGAACACGGGCCCTCCATTTACCACAAGAAGCTGGAGATTGTTGCAACCATGTTTAATTCACCAACTGTTCAAACCAACATTTAGCTTTTCCTTTCCCTTAAGCTGCTGAATTGCTCTGGCAGCCAATAACGGAAATCTTCAAATTTGAAGAAAGCAAAAAAGTTTTCACATATAATAAAAACAATAAAATATTTGTTGAAAGCTTACCATTACCTTTCTGCAATTAAAATCCATTCAAATGATGACAAAACTTTGCAACCCCCATTTACCCACAGGAACCAAAAAAGAGGAAGAAGCAAGACCAGCAGCTGGGTAAATCTCAGACCCCGGAGTGCATCTCTCACCTAGCCTGTCCCCACTGGGCTACTGTACAACTTACTCCTCTTCTAAGAGATCCTTGGAAACTCCTTCCTACTGTGCTGGTTTTGGCTGGGAGAGTTAATTTTCTTTCTAGCAGCTGTACAGTGCTGTACTTTGGCTTTAGTCTGAGAACAACGCTGATTACACACCAATGCTCAGCTGTGGCTCAGTAGCACTTACTCTCATCAAGGACTTTTCAGTCTCTCATGCTCTGACAATGAGGAGGGACACAAGAAACAGGGAGGGAGCAGAGCCAAGGACACCTGCCCCAAACTAGCCAAAGGGATATCCCATGCCGCAGCACATCAAGTTCAGTATGTGAATTTAAGGGAAGGTTCATTGCGATACTGGTTTACAGCGTGGTTGAATCGCTGGTCAGGCAAACAATCCGGTACGCGTACTGCGCACCGCGGGCAGCTCTGTACTGCGGGGGCCATCTAGGGGAACTATTCATAATTGCACCTTTTGCCTTTTCTCCTTACGGGAGGAACAGCTTCCTCCAGCGTCCTCCCTGACCCGCATCTCTCGGAACTGCTCCTATAAAGCACTGTTTGACCTGAGAGAACTGAATTCATTTTTGTGAACGACTCAACGACTTTATCACGAAAGGAATCCATTGTCGGAATTTGTTTACTCCTGTGCTTGCTGTCTGCTCAAATGTACAACAGTTCAGTTTCACAACCAGAACATGTCCTCCATCCGTTCACAGCCAGGTTCCCAGCAGAGCATACCTTTGTAATTCAGGATGCCACATGAGTGTCCTGCTCCCATGTCTTTCTCCCAGAAGACTGCATAAATTCCTTCAGGAATTTTATTTCCTTGATGAAAGCACATGGTGATGTGTGTGTCACTGGTCACCAACTGAATTACTTCATTTGAAAATCTCTCATTTTGTGTTTCACCGATTTTTGCACAGTCTTTGTCATTGCTCGATTCGCATACATTGCTCTCACAGTGATAGACTGCCACGTTTGTTTTGCCAAAGGAAGAGTCTTGTGTCCCCTTTGCAGGGTCATCACTGGCCACGGCAATACCTACAGGAGAAACCAAAGAAAAATTCTTTTCTACCAGTTTTCTCCCCAGAATTTTAGTGTTAGACAATGGATGGGCAAATCCAGTCATGGCTTAAGGGACGCTGTCTGCCAATGGACAATTCTCAGGGTACTGGGCCCAGACCACAGAGTACTTTTGGGGGTAGAAGCATGACATAATTCCTCCACTGCTGCCACTGGTGGAAGCTTGGGAAGTGAGCTCAAAGACATTTCTCCTGCTGAACACGGAAGTCCTATGCCCAGACAGGCTCAGATGACTCACTGTTCTTATTTTCTTTCCTTCCAAAACTCCTTGGCACAATCTTATCAGGGATACCTCCAGCAGACATCCAGATGCTATGACAAAGGAAGCTCACAGCTGAGCTGCCAGACTACGTGCAGCGTCCCACGTCACTGCCACAGGTTTGGCTCAGTGTTCCTGCAGGCAGCAGTTTCACAGCTAAGCCAAACAGCACCAGCAGCATGGCTGAAGTGCTGGAATACGCTAGCACTGGGTGTTGAGAGCTGAAAAAGGGGTTTACTCATTCAGACTCTCCTGAGCAAGAGTCTGAATGAGAGTTCTTTGAGAGAGGACTCACCTCATCTGACTTCAGACAGAAGCAGAAAGTCACCCCTCCAAGTTAGGTGATTGTGACAGGTCAAATGAATCAGCCTTCACCTTTCCTTTTCTCCCCTTATTGGTTTTGTGGTTTTATTTTTAACTGGACATAACTGAGCTTTCTAATAACAGTTCAAGAGCTTTTATCTACTAACGAACAGTGAAAAGCACAGAGGTAAAACAAGGAGACTCACTTGGACAGGAAGATGCAATGGTTAGAAGCAGGAAACACAACTGCATGAAGTGGGCTAAATCCATCAGCCTGCCGTGGGTCTTCATCACCAGCAGCGTTGGATGCTCTCTTACATCCTCCAGGATCCCATGGCAGCCTCACCAGGCTCCTCCCTCAGTTGTCTCCCTATTTGGACATAAAATGCAGTATTCAGCATTCTTATCTGTCCTTATTACCTTTCTAGAAAACAATTTCCAAGCGCTGTAAAGCTTCTACTAGCCAAGAGAACTGGAATGCAGGCAAAGAAGTGCTCATGCTGCTTATCTGCTACAACACTGAGATGGGTTTTGGCAATGCCAAGCTTGCAATCCTTTCTATCTCTGGGTCAAACACAGCAGAAGACAACTGCAGGGAAAGGTGTTTCTGCAGGGAAACGTAAATCCTCCTGAGCCTGCTGGGCAGGAGGCTCCATGTCCAGGCCCTCCAGGCTCCTCCGGGCAGAGGCTTTGCACACATCACTCAGTAAATACATGCAACAAATAACGTCTTGACTTGCTGTCACTTTCAAAACACAAAACAATTAGATAAGGAAGATGATCAGGGGCTGGAGCACCTCCTGTATGAAGACAGGCTGAGAAAGTTGGGGCTGTTCAGCCTGGAGAAGAGAAGGCTGCGTGGAAACCTCAGAGCAGCCTCCCAGTATCTGAAGGGGGCCTATAGGGATGCTGGGGAGGGACTCTTCATTAGGGACTGTAGCGACAGGACAAGGGGTAACGGGTTCAAACTGAAACAGGGGAAGTTTAAATTGGATATAAGGAGGAAGTTCTTTACTGTGAGGGTGGTGAGGCACTGGAATGGGTTGCCCAGGGGGGTTGTGAATGCTCCATCCCTGGCAGTGTTCAAGGCTAGGCTGGACAGAGCCTTGGGTGCCCTGGTTTAGTGTGAGGTGTCCCTGCCTGTGGCAGGGGGTTGGAACTGGATGATCTTAAGGTCCTTTCCAACCCTAACTATTCTATGATTCTATGTTTGGTGCTGAATGTTTTGCTTGCCCTAAGATGAAATATTTATTGTCAAATTGCATTCTACTTTTAAATTTAAAAGATATGGAAAATATCTGCTCAAATTAAAGGAGCAAACACTATTTCTTAAAATAAAATAAAATAAAAAAACAAAACCAAAAACCAACCAAAACAAACCACCTTGGATTTAGTCAGCAATGAGTCCTCAATCATTTCAATGAAACTGCCATGAATTAGTGAAGCAGGTTTCAGGAAAACACAAGTTTCACTTATCCAAAAGAGTAAAAAAGAAATCTGGAAAATTCACTCAACTTTCCTCACTGGCTCTAGGAAACTCAAAGTGCTCTGCCCCCAAAGCTTTCCGTTAGAAGCCTTCATTAAACCAACTGTTTTTGTATGTCACTACCTGAGAAGCACCTTGAGGAAGTTTCAAAGTATTCAGGCACTAATTTCTAATTACACATGAAGTCTCCAGCAGAGCAGCAGTGAAAATCGCTCATCCCTAATACCTGTGCTAGTCTCAAGCTGCTGAGAGTCCCACCCCGATTCCCAGAAACAGATGCGAAGGGAGGAACACAGCCACAAAGGGAGTGTGAGGAGGCAAGTTTCAACAGCTTGACAACAACAATAGTACTGAAGGAAGTAAGGAAACAACAGATCAAAAATCAGGGAACTTCAGTGGATCCCACAGATGTTCTTTTCCATTCAAGTTCTTTCCTAGAAAAGGAGCAGTGTTTACATAAGAGCTACTTTTTGCCTTACTTTCATTACTGGTTTCACCTTGTTGTGCTGCTAAATCTGCTGAACTCCCAACAAGCTTTTGTAACAAAACCCAACCAACCAAAGCAAAACACAACAGGGATGAGAACACGAAAAGGGGCAAAACAGTGATCTTCAGGGTGAGACTGGGGGCAATTTGTTTTCACAGTTCCAAGGAGCTGGTGCAGAAAGCAATCAGCAGGACTCTGTGCTTAAGCTGAGCTATCCCAGCAATAATCCTGAGAGTAAGTACACACCTTCCCAGCAACTGCTCTTAACCAGGTTTTCCACAATAGCTAGTAGAAAACACTACTAACAGTTTGTGTTCTGCTTGCAGCACATTAAGGCGAACAGAATGAACAGTTTCACTGGTTGTATTTCTCACTTTTTAAACCCAGTATTGTCACTGAGTGACACTTTGTGGTTTGGTTCTCTGCTGAGATTTGTTCTGAACCAGAGCCACCAGGGTTTCCACAGCTCCCTTTGGGGAGGGGACCAGTAACCACAGGGAAAACAATGCGCAGCCTGCTCCAGCTTGGGCAGCAGCTTCTCACTGAAAGCAGGGAGAGGGGAGAGTTGCAAAGGTTTCTACTGCAATGCTCCTGGCAAATTACCCTTTCTTTGCCAATATGACAGGCAATTTTGGACAAGGAGATACTAACAAAACACAGCAAGATGAGAAAATACAGGTTAATTTGATGAAGGAAACATTATCGGTGATTACATGAAGATGAAAATGCTCAAAGAGATTTATTCCGTTCCTTCTGTGCCACTCACTCTTACATAAAAGCGCACCACTGAATGAAGCTCTTGGGGTTTTGCATTCAGACGCGCAGTGTGAGAGCAGGGCAGCACTGCATGAAAGTGCAGGTAGGGCCATAAAATGGGGCATTTTATATTTAGCCAGATCCTGCACACAAATAACACATTCCTCTTTACGGTGAAAACGTGAAACACACTGATCAGTTCCCTCCTGCCCCAGAGCCTGCTTTAACTGCCGACTTCAAAAGAGGAAACAACATTTTGTAAGACAAAGGACTGGCTAGAAGACAGGACCCCTTAAAGGAGAAGGCAGTACAAATACCTCAAAAGTGGTCTGGAGCTAAGGAAGCCTTGGTGCCTCTTCCTTTCCCTGCCTGAGCAGCCTTTCCAGCTCCCGGTTCATTCAGCTCCTTTGGCAGAGCCCTGCACAGGAGATGCAGAAGCCCCTTGGATCCCAAAGAAAAAGGCACCCGACCGGCTTCTCCCTTCTTTAAAACACCACTGGATTTTCACTTTCATTTCTCCCGGAGCGCAGGACGGCAGCGGCACAACACAAACAAGGTCAGGGTGCGCTGCTGCGTGGGACTCTGCAGCTGGAGAGCATGGGAAAAACCATACCCCACAGAAAACCCTCCAGGAGCCTGCTTATGGGCACCTGAGGAGTAAATCTGCCTCTCTCCATGCACTGCAACAGCCAAAGAAACCTCTCTAATTCCCAGACTCATCTGCAACACAAGGAAAATAATGCTCATTAGCCTTGGCAAAGCACTTTGAAAAGTGAATACCTGTAGCATTAACCTAAACAAGCCACTTTTACATTTGCTCTTTAATAGAGAAAATGTTATTTATGAGTTCTGACCGTGGAATGAAGGCTTCCAGGAGCTGTTCTGCAGTATTTCACATATGTTGTGGTCTGCTTATCTTCTTTGTGGGGACTATAAGGCTGATGGGTGGCTTCTTCAAACAGTGCCTTATTTCACACAATAGTTGAGGTTGAAAGGGACCACCTGAGGGCATCTAGTGCAACCTCCCTGCTCAAACAGGGTCACCTAGAGCACACTGCTCAGGATAGTGTCCAGACAGCTCTTGAATATCTCCAGGGAAGGAGACTCCACAGCCTCTCATTTTCTCACTCCTCTCTCTGGCTGAACTTACCATATCATGGGGATTTTTTCCCCTTTGGAACTATGTTATCCCAGAGGAGCTATCACTGCCACTGGTGGGCTCAGCCTTGGCCAGCAGTGGGACAGTCTTGGACTGGGTTGGCATTGGCTGCAGCAGACACAGGGAAAGCTTCTGGTGGCTTCTCAATGAAGCCATCTCTGTAGACCCCCAGCTATCAAAATCTTGCCACACAAACCCAATACAAGGGCAAACAGCACCTCTCAGTAGATAAAAAGTGGGGACCGCCCTTTTGAGACCAGGGAACAGTCCAGAGACAGACCAAAACCGCATTCAGCAACCTGCTACTGAGGAGAAGCTGCAGTGAGACTCATTCTTGTCTCTGTGTTCCCAATACCCACATAGACAGACCTACCTGGACAGAAAGAGGTTTTCATAATGAACAATCAAACCTTCACTTCTTTGTTCCTTCTAAGCCTGGAATGCAGAACAGAGCTTTCGCTTCTGCACTTGCTCAAAAATGCTTCCTGTCCAAGTAAGTTCTGAGAAACTGAGCCCCGCAGTTGGGAAGTGGTTGGAGCAGTGCAAAGCAGTGGAGGGGCTGCTCCACCCTACATTCTACTGGGATAGACTGCATAACCCCCTCTTTGCCCCTCCAAAATGGGGCTATCAGCTCTCCTCTGCTCAATCCATGCTCAGAACACACCTCTACAGGGAAGGCACTAGAATTTACCACGGGCAGGATTACATGAGATATGGCTAGAGCTCTCTTAAGACCTCTGGCAACAGATGTTTCTTAACACTCCCTGGCTTCTGGGTTGAGTTGCTCAGCTCCCCTCAAGCTGACCCACCACACATTGCAGCTGCCATCTGAAATGACCCTGGATTCCTCCTGGAAAACATAAACTGCCATTATAGAGAAAAAAGTGGTTTGGCAGGGCAGTCTTCAAGTCAATAAGGAAACTGAAAGAAGTACGTGATGCCCCCCCTGAGTGCATGACACCAGCTGTACATTAACACACAGATAAGGAACAAAACACCTCTCTGACTCAACAACTTCACCTGGGGTGGGGAGACCTACACAGTGACCTGTACCTTGGCTGCTGCTGTTGCCATACACAGCCTCGGCCCCATGTACCACAGCACACAGTCCCACCCTTAGGAAACACAGCCTTTTCCCCACCCCTGAATCCATACCCACCCTTTCTCTGGTATGTCAGCCTGATGATCCTGTCTCCAGGTGCAAGTGCTCTCAACAGACAGAAACAAGGGCAAAAGAAATGCAGTTGCAGCTCCCTGCTTCTGAGCTAAAACCCCCTTATGTTTCAAGAGTGAGTCCACAGCCATGTGCACTGTCACATTGCGCTGCCATCTCAGACAGGACCTTATGGAAACCAGTGTGACACCAAGAGCACTTTGGAGCTCTCTCAATCCTTTGGCTGCTCTGTGGAAGAGCAGTCCCTCAGCACCCCTCAGCTGTGAGGCCCTCAGAAGAGACCTATTTACTTACTAATGAAGAACCAATTCTTGTTTTTCCTTAGGGAACCAGTAATAGCTATTTCCAAAGTCCCCCTCTTTACCAAATGAGCCACTGAGAAAAACACTGGCCAGCACTGTTTCAACATCTTTTAATGGGTGACGCAAATAGCACGAGGGAACAAGTTGTAGCTAAGGAACATCACAGCAAAGATGCACACTGAGGTTTTTTGGACCTCCGGAGGACTAAATGGTTTGAGGAATTGCTAACAGGCCCAAACCCTTCACTCAAACCCACCTAAATAGCAGCTGTGCTTTAGTGCAAGCTGTCAATGCTGTGAGAACTGGATTCAAACTCTCTATTTTGCTCTCCAAGTACAAAGTTTACCAACACACACACACACAGGAGGTGTTTCAGATAAGCCTCTTCCTAAAGGCCACAGTATTGAGCTCCTCAGACCCTGTTTTTGCGTGGTCTTTCATTATCAGTGTTCCCTGTTAGTGATACCCAATTCCTTAAACACCTGCTTTCTACAAGCATGGAACATAAATCTGGGGGAAACCTATCCTGCCTAGCCTAAAATTTCCAGGAACGGGCAAAGAACCTCACTTTCCAAGATCTGTTTTGAGAAGTTTATTTTCCTTTATACAGATAAAGCTTGCACTGCAACCTTAAACTATAAATTAAGTACCTGATAAATAGAAACAATATTAACTGAAGCCTTCAGTTAGGAATTTCCCTTTCTCTTACCCAGAAACATGCTTTAGGAGTTTATTTTCCTTTGTGGGCTGAAGAACCTTCCTGTTTTGCAATAGATGACAAGAGGCCTTCTGTAAATAAGATCACAAACCATATGCCATGTATCTGCTAAACCAGCTGTAAAACCTCCTAAGCAACTCTTAACAGCTGACCACCAGCCTACTCCCTGCACAGGCACTGATTTCTGTTCAAGGCAAAGTTTTCAAGTTCCTTACACAATTTTGTCCTCAACACCCAACCAACTTACAGACAACTCATCTTGATGGGTGAAGGACAGACAGCTGTATTCTGCTTTGCTGATGTTGCTACCATCACGGTCCTTGTTGGACTGTATTTATGCTGCTGTAATCATAGCAACTCTACTCCTGAATGAGGCTTCATTTTGTCTTCCAAAAGAGAGAACCTCCAACATGAACTTTCTCCTATGGCCACCCTGATACCACAAAACCTCTTTCCTTCAATCCAGATATATCACCCCAGAATACTAACATTACCTTGAGCCAGATCTTTACCGAGAAACTCAACATGAAAAAAGAACCAAAACACAGGAGGTGAAAATCAAACACTATGAACAGATAAGAACCCAGAGTTTTTCTCAGGTGTATGCATGTCCACAGGTTTTGGGGCTTCCATTCCTTTTTGTCTCAGGAAACTAGGAATAATAAAGCCCAGGGATCTATCCCAAGTCTTAGCATTAGCAGTCATTTTCCCATTACATCACTGGTCTCAGTATGCTTTGCCCCTGGCTTTAGTTTCCAAAACACTTGCCTACAAAACCTCCATTCATTATCATGTTTGTGAGGGACTTTCCTGCTAATCTGGTACATCAAGAATCATTAGACTCATAAAATCAACTAGGTTGGAAAAGACCCTGAAGATCATCAAGTCCAACTGTTAAAGGAATGTCCTGGCTTCAGACATAGCAGTCACGTTTTTCCTCTTGAGTAGCCAGTGCAGTGCTGTGTTTTAGACTTTACCCTGAGAACAGCACTGATAACACTCCGATGTTTGTAGTTGTTGCTCAGTAATGCTTATTACTCCGATTAAGGACTTTCTGAGTCTCATGCTCTGCCAGCGAGGAGGGGAAGCTGGGAGGAAGCAGAGCCAGGACACCTGACCAAAAGTAGCCAAAGGGGTATTCCACACCACAGCACATCATGCCCACTATAGAAACTGGGGGCAGTTACCCGGAAGGGATCAATCACTGCTTGGGTCAGGCTGGGTATCGGTCGGCGGGTGGTGAGCAGTTGTGTTCTCTCCCCTTGTTACTTCCCTTATCATTATTATTATTGGTGGTAGCAGCAGTGGTTTGTGTTATACCTTAGTTACTGAACTGCTCTTATCTCAGCCCATGGGAGTTACATTCTTTCCATTCTCTTCCCCATCCCTCCTGGAGCATGGGGAGGAAGAAACTGGGGTCAGTGAGCGGCTGCGTGGTTCTCAGTTACCGCCTGGGCTTAAACCACAACAAGAAATTAAGCAAATAGCACCCAAAAGAATTTATGGCTCAAAGAGTAAAGTGAGACCCATGACTGTTTATGACAGTCAATATAGTGTCATGAAGTGAGAAATGAAAGATCAGAAAACACAATTGATGACAATGCAATTGCTCACAACCTGCTGACAGACACCTAGCCCAATCCAAGAAGCCATCTGGGTCTTCCAGGTGATTCTCCCCAGTTTCTATACTAGGAATGATGTGCTGTGGTATGGAATACCCCTTTGGCTACTTTGGGTCAGGTGTCCTGGCTCTTGACTCTGCTTCCTCCCTGCTTCCTGTGCCCCTCCTGACTGGCAGAGCATGAGACTGAAAAGTCCTTGATCGGGGTAAGCACAACTGAACAACAACTAAAACATCAGTGTGTTACCAGCATTGTTCTCAGACAAATGCCAAAACACAGCACTGTAGAGCTGCTAGGAAGAAAAGGACCTTTATCCCAGCTGAAACAAGGGCAGTATCCATTCCTTATTCTATACCATTTACATCATGCTCAGGTCCCACACTTCCCAATATATATACCTTTGTGGTATATATATAGATATATATATACACCTTTGTGGTATATATATATATATGTATACACAGAGATATTACTCTAACATTCCTGTGTTTGGCAAGCCTCACACATAACCAGGAAAGTGTCCAGGTCCACCAGTGTGTG